CATGGACAGCACTGACTCACCAGAGGCCAAGCCGGCAGTCATAGCCGCCAGGGTACCCCGCTCACCGCTCTGTGTGGTCCTCTCGGTCTGCACGGCGTGGCCAGTGTGCAGACTGCCACCTCCTGAGCGGGAGGCCTTCACGCTGTGACCTATCACCTCCTAACTCGCCCGCCCTCCCTCTGCGCCAGGACGGCCCTCAGCTCCATCCGCCCTGCTCTGTCCACCTCAGGCCCTGGGCTCGGCCTCAGGCTCCGTGCGCACGCTGCCGTCGCCACACCTGCCGATGCGGTGGCCTCCCGTGACGACCCCAGTTCACATTCTGGACTGCAGTCCATTCCAAATGTCCTTTCCTCAACCCATCCTCGCTGTTACCCTGAATATCCCACAATCTCACATTCTTGGCAAGTTTTTCTCTCTCTTTTTTTTAAAAATATATTTTATTGATTTTTTACAGAGAGGAAGGGAGAGAGATAGAGAGTTAGAAACATCGATGAGAGAGAGACATCGATCAGCTGCCCCCTGCACAACCCCCACTGGAGATGTGCCCGCAACCCAGGCACACGCCCCTGACCGGAATCGAACCTGGGACCCTTCAGTCCGCAGGCCGACGCTCTATCCACAGAGCCAAACCGGTTTTGGCAAGTTTTTTTCTTTTAAATGTTTCTGGGGCTCACAGACAGGGGGCCACTGTGCAAGTCATTCCAAAAACCAAGTGGGGCCCCACTGATTCTCATTTTTGAGGGAATGTGTCTGGGTTTAAGAAATGAGTTGAAGAGTGTGACGGAGCCCAGCGGCAAGGGATTGAGTCTCAGGAGAGGTAATGTGTGAACGCCCAGTGAACGGAGACAGGCGTGGCTGTTCTCATTTGGGAGTATTTGTGCCTTGAAGATAACAAATAGAGTTCTTAGGAAGTAGGCAGTAGGAAATAGGTGTTCAGAGAGCAGTTTCACTGAGTCCCAGAGAGAAGGCCTCTCCCACAGACACGTCCTGCGACGTCCCTTCCCCTGAGGCCTGCCCTCGGCCATCGCAGGGCCTGGGCCAGGGGCACTCTGCAGCTGGCAGCCTTTTCCCGCTCCCGGGCCTGGCTTCTGGCTGCCACGGGAGCTTTGGCGAGTTAACCTCTTGGTCTCAATGTTCTCCTTTATAGAATGGGCACAGCAGCAAAAATAACTAGGAGACACTGTGGCCACAGGAGGGTGTGCTGCTAGGAAGCTGCGTGGGGATGCCTGCTGCACTCCACAGGGGCCAGGGCTGAGCCGCAGGCCTGCCTCTGTGAGCCCACACGCACACCCTCTGCTCCCGCTCGCCTGTGCAGGGCAGTGGAGAGAAACGCACCGTTTCTGCCACAATGTCCCACGGCTGACCCGTGGCCACCCGCTTCCGTGCCCCGTGGGGGTGGCCCTGGAGGCAGCAGCTTTGCTGGCCGAGGTGCCCCTGCCGGACAGCACCTTCTGGGAGTGTTTCACTTCTGCTCCGGCCTCAGCTGCTCGCCTGAGTGCAGTGACAGGTTCATTCGGCTGTAAGCCATCCGACATTGTCTATGAGCTTTGAGAGCAGAGGGGGAGGCACAGCGTTGCTCAGCTCATACCATGACAGAAGGACTGGGAGAGGATTGCTAGTTTAGGCCATCCTTTTATTTATTTACTTTTTTAATGTTTATTTGTTTGTTTATTTCAGAGAGGAAGGAGAGGGAGAGATAGACACATCAATGATGAGAGAGAATCATTCATCAGCTGCCTCCTGCACGCCCACACTACAGATCGAGCCCACAACCTGGGCATGTGCCCTGATTGGGAATAAAACCTTGACCTTCTGGTTCACAGGCCGACGCTCAATCACTGAGCCATGCTGGCTGGACATCCATTTATTTTTAAGGTGTAACGTTTTGAACATCATCCCAACCATATCTTAGATCAGCCGTGGGCAAACTACAGCCCACGGGCCGAATCCGGCCCGTTTGAAATGAATAAAACTAAAAAAAAAAAAAAGACCGTACCCTTTTATGTGATGATGTTTACTTTGAATTTATATTATTTCACACAAACACTCCATCCATGCTTTTGTTCCGGCCCTCCGGTCCAGTTTAAGAACCCATTATGGCCCTCGAGTCAAAAAGTTTGCCCATCCCTGTCTTAGATTCTTGAAATCATAGGAAAACTGACTAAGGAGAGGGCATCAGGGGACACACTCACTAGGCAGCGCTCCCAGCAGCTGCTCAGAAGGCGCCTTCCCGGCTGCGGCCACACTGCCCGCCACCCTCCTCCCACAGAGCTCGGCCCTGCCATTCGGCCAGTCCGCCTGTCCTTCCCCCCTCCCAGGACCTCAGAGAAGAAGGGTCATCCCTCTTGGGGGAAATTTATCAAGTTTTTGTAACACGTTCTCTTTCACAGGGTGCCCTGAGCGCCGGCTGCTGTGCCTCTGGGCCGCAGGCAGGACGCGGCCTTCGTGTCTGGACGCTGTCTGTGTTGCCATAGCTAACGTGCCACTGGGCGGTGATGTGCAAGCTGCAGGGAACTGAAGCCCCTCCATATGCCTAGTTATCTTCCTGTTTTTCCCCAACTGTGAACTTAGCCAGCCTTTAAATTTTTAAAATTTAATACATTTCCTTTATCAAGGGAGATAAACTCCACTCCCCCCCCCCCCCCAAAAAAAAAACAACAAAACACCATACATGTAAAAACCCAGGGTGCTAGAAATACAAATCAATTCATTCAAATTCAAGCTCCCCAGACACTGGTCACAAACCCTCGTGAGGTGCCTGTGAGCACGAAGTCAGGGAGAGGGGCCAGGAGCGAGGCCACGGGAGCGAGTGGGAAAGGCCCTCCCAGGCCCCTAGTGGTCACCCTCACTCCTTCCCAGTGACAGTGCAGACCTACGCGGCCCTGGCCTTTTCACCCCCACCCACCCCTGGCCAGGGCTTCGAAGGCCAGTGGTTCTACTCTCTCCTGTTCCATCCTCACTTGTTCAGGCTACCAGCCCACTCTCCTCCTCCTCCACGCTCCTCTCCATGATGGTAGCAGGTGGGGTACGGTACGGGCTGCGGGAGGCTGGGGCCAGGGGAGGCAGGGTGAAGGCGGGAGAAGAGCTGTCCAAGCGCTCTGTCTTCATGGGACCCAAATGGTACAAGCAGCGCCTCTCTTGCGCCCACGCGGGTCTGAGGAAGAGCACCGCAGGCCGGAGCAGCCCTCCTGGAGGCTGCAGGTGGGAGACAGGGTGGGCTTGCTGGCAGCGCCTGGGGGGCTGACTGGGGGAGGTGGCAGCGGCGGCAGCTTCTTCCAATGGGCCAGGCTGCTGCTCAGCACAGGCACGCGGGTGCCGTCCGGGTGCTGTCCGGGTGCCATCCGCCGAGCCGGCCAGGCACTCACGCTGCTCCACGCCCTGGGAATCTGCGGTGGGCGCGGCGATGTTGCTGGCTGTCCTGGCGAGAGTGGAGAGCAGGACCTGCGCATCTGTGCGAGCAGAAGGCTGTGCCGTGGGCTCAGCTCCATGGAGGGCTTTGGTGGGGGCCAGGGGGGCTAGGAGGGTCCAGCAGCAGCTTCCGCTCCTCTCGGTCCTGGTCCGAGTCCTGTAGCAGCACCCCATGGCAGGCTGCATGTGCAGGGACCTACATTTGTTTCATTTAACATAGAAACCTAACTTTACACTGTATCCCCATTAGAACTCATGTTGTTAGTCATTCCAGCCATTCCAGATGGTTAAATGCTTTTGGGTTCTGATTCCCATCCAATAGCTAAGCCCCCCTGTGCTTAGCAACATTGGCAAGAGATGGGTTTGCCTCTGGGCCCCACCCAGTCACCAATAAAATACTGACGAGAGAAGGCCGAGGCCCAGGCCAGGAACTCATTTCTCTAAGAGCCAGGAGATTTCAGAGAGAAAAGTGGTCATTGTGGCCAGAAGGACAAAGTGGATGGCACACGTGTGGCTGGCCCTGCCTTGCCGTCAAAGGACTACTTTCCTAAAACATGAAAGTGCAGGAAGTTTAACATGAAAACCAGGCTTTTATGCGAGTGGAGCCGTGCCAACACTGCAGACCCTTCAAACGAAGTGCTACACCTGGCTCTTCGGAGGGGCCCCCTGAGGGACAGGTGGCCGTGAGGGCTGGCCGCTGCGACCTGCTCTGTGACGCCTCAAGTCCCTTGACCAAGGGACTTGGCGGAGAGAGGGTGGTGGGGAAGAGACAGTTTTGAGGGCGGAGCTATGGACCCCACTGTGCCTGACCAACAGCACCCGCACCCGCCGTGCAGGCGCCAGAGGCTGCCGGACAACACGCAGCGTGTGCCTGACAGCCCCGACAAATCACCATGATGGTCGGTCTTCTCACCCACTTACTCAGGAGGCTTTCTTCTGGGCTTGTGCATTATAAAGAGTTCTGAACTAGAACTAGTATTTATATTCACTGACAAATCATAAAAAACACAAGTCATTACATAGACTCAGACCGTGTATGCTGAAATGTGATAACTGATATGTTCTTTGAAATTTTGGTAACTAAATAAAAACAATCTCATTAGGTTACTTCCTTAGATGACTACTCTAGAACTGTTAAGATTTACAATAACATTTAAAAAATGACTTCATCCCTAGTCTTTATTCACCCTTTTAAAAAACCTTTAATTAATAAAGTGGGTCAGTGACTCAACTATTCACACCCATGTGTCATACTTAAAGAGAGATGACTAAAGACAAGCAGATGCCAACAATATTGGATTTTTTTTCTAGTTAAAAAAATATGAAGAAAACTTAGCTTTAAAGAAAAACAGATAATGGGAAGCAAACTGCCAAGCAGTCTCAAATGCAACAAAACTCACGGTTACATTCCCCCTCTTTGTTGTTCATTTATAGCCGGGGCCAAATTAGAAGAAAAACAAATTATTTGCTGAACTTACACTTCAGTTTTCCCTTACTCAGGGGGAAAAGCACCCCTAAATAAGTAAAATGCAGAATACTTATTATCTAAATGGTTTTTCTTTACCCCCAAATCAAGTGCAACTGAGCAGAAATTCTGTGTTTGTCACCAATCCTTTATTGAAACTGGTAACTTCCACACTTTCTAATAGAACAAAAAAAATAATGTTCAGTATATACAGTCTTTTCATGGACTATTTGACTATACACAAGGCAGGGTGATAACACACTCTAATCTTCATAATAATTTGTGCAGAAAAAGAGACCTGACAGACAACGTGTGAGCAGTACAGTGAAATGACATCACAGGTCCAGTGAAACGCAGCCTGACACAAAACACACGCACGGCGGCCAGTGACGCCTCCCGGGAGAGGCTGGTCAGTAGTAATTCACCCCAAGTCGGACGCAGAGATCTGGTGTGTGGCTATGAGTCTCTTCAGCGAGACCACCTCTGCAGAGAGGTTTGCTATGCCCTGCTTCAAAAACAAGTTCTCTGGGTCGGACACTTTGTAGCCATTGTCTTTCATTTCGGCGACTCCAGCCTTGAAACTGTTCTGAGTTTTGCCCGTAAGTTCTTTCTGATGCCAGTGTTCCGACCGGAGAGACCAGTCTTGGATGTTAGTCACTTGCACTGAGAAAGGAGTGAGGGGGGGATGGCCCGCACTTGGGGCACTGAGCTTCTCCGGCCCGAAATGCCGCTTGGCCGTCGGGCCAACGGCCGAGGGAGGTTTGTGCGCGGCCTCAAAGTCCGTGTCGAGCGCCTCTACTTTGATCTGCATGGCTTTGGCTTTGATGCGGAGCTTGTGTGGCAAGGCAGAGGCGTTCGCTTCCGGGACCTTAACCACCGTGGCGTGTCCGTGCTGCAGCTCGAGGGGCGAGTGCATCGGGCCTTTGGGAACCTGCTGCTCGTCTTCTCCGTCCGAGGACTTTCCCACGGCACCATCATCGGTTTCGGACGTCCTCGGGGAGTTGCTGGAGGA